AAGACAATTTTGTTTAGAATTTGATTAAACTATTGCGAAACACAGTTTTCTTCGCGTTTTTCGAAAATAAATTTCTAAGATACGAAAAATACTCTACACGTTCAAAATTGTGCGTTCAGTAAACAAGAGTGCGCTCTAAATGTAGGGAATTTTTCATCAAAGCTTCAAAAATTCATTTAAATCACATGAAATCTCGAATTTTGTGGGCTTCATCACGGTTTATTTGAAAATGAACAGTTTTACGCAACTGCAGACTCTTCAGTAAAAATTCCAACTTTCAAAGAAAATCTGGCGCAAATCAAGAAATTTTGGCGCAAACTTGCACCTAAATATGCAAATTTGGTGTGACTTTTTGTGACAAATCTACCAGATCTTACTCACGCACGTTTTTATATCTGAATTGAGTGACCAGTTCTCTATCCAATGATATAAAAGGAACTCTGTGGCGCAAATGGTTCCTGAGCAACGTCAAAAAGGTGGCATCATGTTTCAGTCGATTTGGGAGTTAAAAAAGGAAGCAAAACTAAAACTCTTCACTTTTTATAACAAAAAACATAAAACTTGAACCCATATTGGCATATCTGAAACGGTTCCGTGGAGACAAGCTTCAGCTGAATTTTATTCAATTGTTGCCAGTCTTTATAGGTATAATATACATCTAACTCCTTTCTCAAATTCGACATATATTAACTGGTATAACTGATGATTAGTAATCAGTAACAAAATGTAAACTTAAAGACCACAAGATGCATTACATATTTTTCGGTTTTCTCAACTAGGGCACGAAATTTTTTAAAATCTGATATTGGAATATTCGTTTAGTGGTTTAGTCGAATACTCGAATATCTTACAAATATTCGAATAATCGAATAACAAGTATTCGAATATTCGAATATTCGAGTATTCGAATATTCGAATATTCGAGTATTCGAATATTCGAATATTCGAGTATTCGAGTATTCGAGTATTCGAGTATTCAAATATTCGAATATTCGTTAGATATTCGAGTGTTCGTTTTCCGTTCACCGTTTTCATTAATTGTATCACCGCGCAAAAGTTGATGACGCGAATCACCAGAACACAGAGACGTAATTTTATATTCATTTGCAGGAGAGTAAATATGATTATTTTCATTTGCTTGTAAATATATGGGTATTTGTTTAAATGCTTGTAGAATATGAAT